GAGCCTATACAGCTTGGAGTAAGACAACATGCATGAAGAGGATGATGTGGACAAAATACTCATTTGCCTAATAATTCTGCACTCCCTGTATATGAGAATCAGTCAATTTACCATTCAGTTTTACTATGTTTAGGCTAGTTTCACTTGCCAGAAACATTCATTAAACCGATTCTGACGTCGATACTTATGAGTCAGTCATGGGTCAGCGTCAAATGGGCCTGTGTTATGGTTTGTTACATTAGTCTGTTACATTAGTTTGTAATAAAATTGGTCCACTTACCTTGGTTTGCTGTTCTGGAAAACAGCAACATCTGAACTGAAAGTAATCATAAAAAATGAATTATTTTTCAAGGAGTTTTTCCTTTAGTACCAAATATAGCAGAAGGGCAGTGACCACATTTAAAGTGTTTTCTTAAAACAGGATGTGCTTAGTTATTGAATGTTAAGTAAAAGTAATCTCACTGCCACTCTCAAGCAGATTATCTTAAATCAACATATTAAATAGTGGGATTTAAAGCCAGCACATGTTACTTACAGAGAAGGCACAGAAGAGGTGTTTGTCCCATTGTGGTGCACAGAGGTGTGAGGTTTTTCTGTGTAACTGCAGCACTTAAACCCTCTTCCTGCCTTTCGGCAGCACAGTGTAGAGGGTCCGTGGTTTCTCTGCAGCAGTTCTAAAGAAAAAGTATAGAGTTCTCTAACCTTTAACTGAGATATGATTCACAAGGTGAATACAATCTGCATTTTTTTAAAGCATTACATAATCTGTCTCCACTTAAAAAACAAACTGTAAGGTTATAATTGTTATTTTGTCCTAAAAATGTTTCAAAGTTAAGCAAAGATTACAGGTAGTTGTAGGGCTGGACTGGGACAAAAAAAATGAGCATTTTGACTAGACCAGCCCACCAGGTATTGTAGGAAAAACCATAAAGCCTTTGAATGAAAACAATGTGACAATGACGTACACTGTCAACAACAACGTCACAACAACTATCTTGGTGACATATAAGGAAGATTTCTTTACATTTGATCAGATGACCACTTTGGTTGTAAGATTCAGATCATTTTTTATTAAAAGCTAGACGTTTTAAATGAGAATAAGAAAGAAAAGTATTTCTTTGTGCCCCCTTTCCCTGTTAACCCTTTAAGACCTACCATAGAACCAAGTCCACCAGAGCTTATATTATATTTTTACATGCTGTGGAGCCATTTTTGGGAGCATTTCAAGTTGCTATACATCAATACAACTGTTA